TGGCTTTTTTCTTTTTGCTTATGTGGTGCTGAGGAATCGAACCCAGGGCCTCATGCATGCAAGGCAAGCGCTCTACCACTGAGCCACCTTCCCAGCCCAATCATTTCATATGTTTTAAATCACTTTATATAAAATGCTTATTTGATCAGTTAATTAAATACAACAGTTGGTGATTTAATCCTGCTGTTTTCTGACTACCTGCTTTTGGATTTTTTTTCTTTGTAAGATTTGAAACCTGAAGGAACTTTATCTGGGGAAATCCTATGAAGTCTGGACCAAAGTCATAGTCCCAGATATAGTGTTGGTTTTGCTTTTGCTAGGTGTCCAGGTGCCTAAGAACACTTTTTATATTAACTTCTTGATAGGAATTATGGGATAACTTAGTTGTATCATATGACAACTTCAACTCTAAACCTGCAATAAGGTCAGACCTACAATTACACATTCTTAGAGGGACAGTTCTCCCTTCCTGGTTAACCAGAGATCGAGCTGGGTCAGACAATGCTTCTCATTTTCTTTCTATATGCTAGATTAATTCTTTTTACCTACTTTTTCACCGAGGATATAGGCTGTTGAGAGTTCTGACTTCATAGTGTGAGCATGTTTACAGAGATATGCAGGCCAGCACCTTACCCCCTATCTTTAAATGGCCAGATGAGTTCAGGTCTCTGGGACACTAAAGGTAATAATGTACCTAAGCCTCTTATCCTAAGGCTGCCATAGAATTAATTTGTACACTTAATTGCTCTCATTGTAGTTTCATCTTCATCTTACTTACTGTTTTTTTGTGTGAATTCAATTATGTATATTAAAAAACATATAGATTGCTAGGTGCTAGTGGCTTATGCCTATAATCCTAGCTATTCAGGAGTCTGAGAACTGAGGATTGTGGCTCAAAGCCAGTCCAAACAGGAAAATCCATGAGACTCTTCTCTATAAGTAACCACCAAAAAGCTAAAGTGGAGCTGTGGCTCAAATGACAGAACACTAACCTGAGCAAAAAGAGCTCAGAAACAGTACCCAGACCCTAAGTTCAGGACCAGAACAAAAACCAACAACAATAACAACAACAAAAACCATATAGCCAGGTGTGATGATACACATTATAATTCCAGCTCTTCAGGAGGTATAGATGAAGAAGACAGTGGTTCAAGGCTAGCCTGAGCAAAAAGTTATAAAAACACTCTATCAACCAATATTCAGAGTGTGGTGGCATATGCAGGTGTGATCCCAGATAGATGTGGGGTATAGTTAGGAATATTGAAGCCTAAAGTCAGTTCTAGGGGAAAAAAAAAGACACCTTATCTGAAAAATAAAGCAAAACAGGATTGGGGACATGGGCCAAGTAGTAAAATGTCTGTCTAGCAGGCACAGTGCCCTGAGTTCAAGTCCCAGTATACCCTCTCCAATGTGTGTGTATGTGTATATATATATATATATATATATATATATATATATATAAACATATACTGTATACTATGCATTATATAGTATATATTTGTGGTTATATATGCCATATATACTCTAGTAATATTAGCATTATATATGTATATATACACACATACACTTTGATACTGTTTTGCATTTTAAAGCAGAATTTTCATGAGATCTAATGTTATACTGCTTGAAATGGAAGTTTGTATTGTAGTTCACAGCAAAGAGTATATGCTGGTATTTTGTGCTTTCTAACTAATGCTGAACCAGGCATTGGTGGGTATACCTATAATCCTAGCCACTCAAAAGGCTGAGACAGAGGATAATGATTCAAAACCAGCCTAGGCAGGAAAGTCCCAGTGAGACTCATTTCCAATTAGCCACTCAAAAACTGGAAGTGGCCCTGGCTCAATGTTGTAGAGCACTAGCCTTTAGCAAAAGAGCTCAGGGACAGCACCCAAGCCCTGAGTTCAAGCCCCACAACCAACAAAAACAAAAAAAGACCAAAAACAACAACAAAATCTCCCTAATGTTGGATTACTGAAAATTGTTTTACAGATCATGTAGTTTGTTATCAGTGACAATTCAGAGAAGAAACATTTAAAATTATTATTTAAATACATAAAGAGCTTGTTGGAACAAATTCTAATCTAACACGTCTGTTTCAGGATATGTAAGGGCCATCCCATAGATTATAGACAAGAATTACTTTATGTTCATTCAATAAACATTTCAGCATATGCCTACTATTCGTAACACAGAGATGACTAAAGGTACATTTACTTAATCAAGAAAGTCCATTTCAGCCAGGTGCTGGTGGCTCACACTTGTAATCCTAGCTACTGAGGAGGCTGAGATCTAAGGATCTTTGGCTTGAAGTTCCCATGAGACTCTTACGTCCAATTAAGCACTCAAAAGTCAAAAGTGGAGTTGTGACTCAAAGTGGTAGAGCATTAGCCTTGAGCAAAAGAGCTGAGACAGCACTCAGGCTCTGAGTTCAAGCCCTACAACTGACAAAAAAAATCATTTCAAAGCCAAGTGTTAGTGGCTCATACCTATAACCCTAGCTATTCAGGAGGCTAAGATCTGAGGATTGTGGTTTGAAGCCTACCCAGGCTACCCCATGAGACTCATCACCAGTTAATCACCAAAAAGCTGAAGTAGAGCTGTGGCTCAAGTGAAATTTTTGCTTTAGTTACTTATTATTAGAAATCTTGTTATGTCAATAGTTATGTATCTGATTATTTAATTTCTGCCTGGAATAAGTTAACTCACCTGAGCACAACAGATAAATACAACTGAGATTGTCAATAGGAAAGCTGATGAAACGATGACATCAACTGATCTCTGAGGACCTCGACGCTGAGGGAGGAGAGAGAAAACATTTTAAAATACATTTACTAATTAGCAACTAATTTCTATGCTTTCATTAAGGTGTTGATTTATCACTGCAGGTTGGTCATAGATTACAGTGCTGAAAACATACCTAATTTGACAGATAAATATTAATTATGAAGTGTTAACATTTCCTGAAAAGTGATGACTATGTAGTATAGAATCCTTAGCAACACTTTCACAAAACTTTTTTTTGTCAAATACTATGATCCTTTATCTAACAATTGTTTCTTGAGCATTTGTTCAAAACTAAGCACTGTGTTTGGCGCTACAAATATAACAGAAAACAAGACACAAATTCCTTTCCTTTTCAGGACATAGTAGGGGAAGAAGGCACAACAAACTCATACTCATGAGAGTATGTGATAAGCTGCAATGAGTAATATGCAGGAATGTTATTCATAGGACACTTTGAAGCATCCCTCAGGGAGACTTAATCTAGATTTAGAGATGAGAAGAGGGGGCATAGGAAAAGCTCCCTAAGTAATATTTATATGAAACTATGGGGTGGGGGTAGGATGGCATACAGCAGTGCTCCAGGCAGAAGAAAAAATAGAAAGAAGAGCATAAAGTAAGAAGGATCACAGTCCTTTTTTTTTTTTTAAGGATTTTGTTGTTTATCCTAAGAGAAATGGAGAACTTCCAAAAGTTTTAAGAATTATATGATCTAATCTATATTTTAAAGGGATCTCTGTGGTGAACTGAAGAAAGTATCACAGAGGAAATGTCAATGCTTGAAAACCAGTTAAAAGGCAGCTGCAACAGACCAAATCAGAAGATCCTAATTGTTTTCAATTAGTGTGTTAGAATTGGAAATGAAAAAGAAACAATTCAAGACACATTCTACAAGCAGAAAGGAGAGAAATCTGTGATAAAGTAGACACTGGAAATCAAGAGAGTGAAGTATCAAGGGTAATTTCTATGTCTGGGCTTCCATGTTTTCCTTACTAAAATGTAAGCTCTTAAAGGTAGAGATGTTGATCCAATTAACAGTAAATGACAAATGGTTAAAATTAAATATTTATTGACTAAAATAATACATACAATACTGTAATACCTACTTAGGATTGGTAATGAGGGAAAAATCTGAAGAGAATTTTGCTATGTCAAGCAACAAAGATCATATGTATATCTTTGTACAATATGGTGTCCCAGAGGAAAGAGAAATCTATGCTAACTTATAATACTTCCCAATAAAAACTAAGAGCTAAATTTAACAATTTAAATTAATAAAAAAATTAATTTTTTTGGTTGGTTGTGGGACTTAAACTCTGGGTCTGGGCACTCAGCTCTTCAGCTCAAGGTTAGTGCTCTACCACTTGAGCCACAGGGCCACTTCTGGGTTTCTAGTGGTTAATTGGAGAAAAGAGTCTCATGGACTTTTTCTGCCCAGGCTGGCTTTGAACATAGATCCTCAGCTTCCTGAGTAGCTAGGATTATAGGCATGAGCCACTGGCACCCATCACAGAAGAATTAATTTTTAAAACAAAAAGCAAATAGTGCTTTTTTTTCATTGTTACTTCAAAATAAAAACCATTGAGGATCTAGGCATGTCTGAGTATATTTTAGTCTTGTGTTAATTTTAATAACATAGTATTTTGAATAAATATCCTTGAGTTTTATGATTATTTCACATATAATCAAATTCACTGCTTTTAAATACAACAAAATACCCATAAAAATTCTTTCTTAAAACGAATTCAGATATTTTCCTTTTCACTCTAGGATATTTCTATCTTATTCCACTAATAGAAGAAATACTGAAAAGATTAGAGTTAGGTACTGGTGGCTCATTCTGTAATACTAGCTATTTAGGAGGCTGAGGTCTGAGTATCACAGTTTGAAGCCAGCCCAGGCAGGAAGGAAAGTCCATGAGACTCATCTTCAATTACCACCAGAAAACCGGAAGTAGACTGTGCATCAAAGTAGCAGAGTGCTAGCCTTGAGCAAAAGAGCTCTCAGGGGCAGCACCCAGGCCCCAAATTCAAGCCTCCAGCTGAAAAAAAAAAAAGGATTAGAGAAGAAAGAGCATAAGATCGATGTAGACCAGGCACTGGTGGCTCATGCCTATAATCTTAGCTACTCAGGAAGCTGAGATCTGAGGCTCGATGTTCAAAGCCAGCCTGGGCAGGAAAGTCCATGAAACTCTTATCTCCAATCACCACCAGAAAACCAGAAGTGGAACTGTAGCTCAGTACTTGTCTTGAGCCAAAAGCTCAAGGACAGCACCCAGACCCCGAGTTCAAGTCCAATGATTGATAAAAAAAAAATTAATTAAAAAAATTGCAAGCTAGTATTTTAAAATAGTAATAGGTCACTTCAGTAAGGACATCCATTGGTTATAATCTTCAAGATTCTTTTTTTAAGTAGTGGGCTCCCTCTACTGGCTTCTGATAACCATTCTAGGCAGAAACAAAAACCCTAATTTAGCTTTTGAATGAGAAATTGGTGATTATACATTCATAGACATGTAGATATTGACAAAGAAACTAACAGAGGGGCACATTAAACGTATTTTTATCACTATCATTCTACCTTAAGATAGGAACGAAGAGACAGCCACATTTTTATATTCTGTACTTTCTTCAAACGGAAATGAGGAACCTCAGATTTTCGAGCCCTCCTTGCAGATGTTAAATGTCCAAAAAGTTTTGCAAAAAGCAAACGCTAAAAAAGATTAAGACAATGATTAATTCTCCAGTAGCTTACTATGGCAAAATAAAAACCACCAAAATATAAACTGTAATAATTTTATTTAGCTAAGTTCTATAAAAGCAAAATATTTAAAATAATAAAAATTTAAATCAATAATCAACATTATCAAGTTAAAAGATGAAGTGAAATACTAAAATACTCTAAATAGCATTAGAACAAAATGCTCTACTCAGAAGTCTGTATTATACTCACTTGTTTATAAGTTCTTTCTGCTACACAGAGCAAAAAAAAGAAAATCCATACAAGAGACACACGAACCACAAAACTTATTATAACCATAGAAAGAACCATGAAATCTTCATTAGAACCAAATGCAATCACATAAAGTTCTGAAGCTGAATGTGCTGTGAGTTGTTCCAAGTCTGTAGCTTGAGACAGTCGGAAAACAAATGGAGTTAAACCCAGGATTAGAGAGATGGCATTTCCAAAAATCTGGTATCCTATTCCTGGTATATGGCTGTTCACCTTGATAGAGTCAGGGGGAGAGAGAAAAAGAAGAAAATATATACCTAAAGTTTATTTAAAATGAATTCCTATTGAGATTATTTGTAACAGCAGGAAATCATTGTTAAATACATTAGTTCTAGTACATGAATACAAATGAAATGTGAGTGCCAACTATAACAAATTATATCTTAGTTTTAAAATAATTCATCATTAGACTTCTAATTCCTTAAGTATATATGATTACTCACTCTTAATGATTATACCAGTATTACTCGATATTGAAAAAATTCTCTGCATCTAATTAAGTTAAAAGCATATTACAAAATGAGATCTCATACCCACTTAATTTTAAGTCTTTAAAGAAACAACTCCTGGAATTATACTTACTCAATCACTGTGTAACTTGGGTTCTATAAACATTGATGTCTCCTCAATACTATTTTAGAAGAGAGAGCAGGTCAGAGTTTCTAGACACCCTAGCTAATTGGTTTTACCTGTTCACATTGAAGTATGTAATAGAGTATGTCAATTTCTAAATTCGTATTTCACAAAAATTAAGGACAAAAGTTGCAGCATAATAATGCACCAAAGACATTTTGGATAACAAATTAGATCATACCTCCTTGTCCAGAAAAATTAGATAAAATTTGAATAGAAATCATACCCACACTGTTTGCACTATACTTCTTCTAACTACTCAAGATTTTTATAATTGTCTAAATTACTTCTGTATAGTTATGTAAGCAGATGAGTATAAATACATTTTTTTTTTTGTCAGTCGTGGGGTTGAACTCTGGGCCTGGGTGCTGTCCCTCAGCTGTTCAGGCTCAGGGCTAGCACTCTACTACTTGAGCTACAGTGCCACTTTTGGTTTTCTGGTGCTTTATTGGAGACAATAGTCTCATGGACTTTCCTGGCTTTGAACAGAGATCCTCAGATCTCAGCCTCCTTAGTAGCTAGGATTACAGGCATGAGCCACAGGTGCCAGGCTAAATACCAATTTTCTAGCTTGATCTTTATGTTTCGAATACTGATAATTGAACCAGTAAAGATGATACAGAAAAATAGCTCTTCATCAGCATCTGGATATATTTAGCGGGTTCTCAATTTACCCACTGAAAGCAAAAGAAAATAGTCTGAAAGAGAAAGTTATACATTGTATTCTCTAATCCTGGTCAAGAGTAATGTTAAAAGATGAGAATGATTTGGTGACAAATCAATGTTCAGGATGGAGACAAAAAGCACAACTTTTTTTCCCAGGTGAGATCATTAATAACATTTCAGTAATGATTGATGGTCACTAATTTTATTGCTGAATGAAATGAATAAAATTTTAAAACTCACTCTGTTCATTATCATCCCACTGATTTCAAGTACTGACATGTCCGCTTTCTTACAGTCATTGCCTTCCCATACAATAGCACTTATTTTTTCTAATCCAGGATGGGAGCTATGGAGCCAGGGTAAATGACTCTACAAAAAAAAAAAAAGAAAAAAGAAAAATTGGTGAAAATATTTATTATATTTCACAAATAAAAAGTTTGCCTATAAATTATATAAACTGTGCACAATTTTAATTACTCTAAAATAAAAACTGAGATATATTTATGTGATATATATTTATCATATTTTATAAATGGAACATATATGTGCTTTATCTGTACTCCTACACAGAATTTCAATTACATTAAAATTCCAACTTAAAATTAGCATATACAACATTGAATAGATGACCTAAGGAATTATGCAGTTACAATATAAAGAACCTAAGAACTTTTTTGTAACAAGTATTAGGTAACGTATAGTTTTAAAATATCCTAAAATGTGTCAGGAAAAGTATTTTTGTATCAGTGTATGTAGCTTCCAATATGCTGATATTAATGGATGAAAATTTGTCTATAATGACCATTGTCCATTGGCTAAGATTTGAACCCCTTAATTTCATCCTGAGTCTCTCCCTCACACTTACCTTTAGTTAGTTTTAGATTACTGATTTAGTTACTTTTCTGGTATTATAAATAGTTGGGTTTTTTTTGGTCAGTCATGCGGGCTTGAACTCTGGGCCTGGATGTTGTCCCTGAGCTCTTCAGCTCAAGGCTAGCACTCCACCACTTGAGCCACAGTGCCACTTCCCATTTTCTAGTAGTTAATTGGAGATAAAGAGTCTCACCTTCCTGCCTGGGCTGGCTTTGATCCTCAGCTCTCAGCCTCCTGAGTAGCTAGGATTATAGGTGTGAGCCACCAGCATCCAGTTTAAATAGTATTTCTTAAGAAAGTCAATTAGGGTTTTTTTCCCCCCCCAGATACAGCAATCATAGGAAGCTGAAACACACAGAACTAGAAGCAGTCTCTGAATTAGGATAAAGGATCTCTCAATGTTTCAAGGAATTTAAAAAGAAAGAAAAACTGAAAGGTTTAGTATAAAAAAAAAATCAAGGGGCTGGGAAGGTGGCTCAGTGGTAGAGGCTTGCCTTGCATGCCTGAGGCCCTGGGTTTGATTCCTCAGCACCACATAAGCAAAAAGAAAAAAGCCGGAAGTGGCGCTGTGGCTCAAGTGGTAGAGTGCTAGCCTTGAGCTAAAGAGCAGAGGGACAGCACCCAGACCCAGAGTTCAGGCCCCATGACCGGACCCAAAAAAAAAAAATCAAAATTTTAAGTTTGAGCTTTTCTGTTTTAGATCTATAATTACAAGAGTAAAACAGAATTAATGAAACACTACCTTTTGTATAAGCAGACTGTGAGATAATACTATCACTTAAAGATTATATCTAGAATAGTTGGATAATTTGCTTATATTACAGCTTTCTAACATAACTCTTTAAAGGACTGGTAACATCCCCACATTTTATAAAAAGGACAGGTTTGGCTTAGATAATATATGAGGAAAATCATTAAGAGAATTTGACATTCTAATATATATATTTTATAATGTAGTTCATTAAAATCACTTGCTAACAGTAAATAGAAGAATGGATTCTAGTTATATTTTCTTTGGAATGCAAAAATCTGATTAAATATGGTTTTAAAAAAAACCTGTTCCTGGAATTTTAAATAAAGGATGAAATTTTTTCTCTAGGAAAGTTCAGTTAAACGCTTTTCCAAAAATAAAAGATTTCATGATCTACTTTCATGGTTTCTATTTCATTACTTGAGGGTTTTAAGAAATACTATGAAATACTAGTTATTACCTATTAACTGAATTCCTTCAAATTTATAATTTATCCCCAAGAAAAATATTCTAGTTTGGGTTAGAAGTAATTTATACTAAAAGAAGTATCAAACTTTCTCAGAAAATTTGGTAATTCTGAAACAATTAGAATTATTTCAAATAGAATAACAGAGTCAAAAAGCTAGGAAAAGCCAGGCACTGGTAGCTTACAATTGTAATCCTACTCAGGAGGCTGAGATATAAAGATCATGGTTCAAAGCCAGCCCAGACAAGAAAAAGCCAGAAGTGTAGCTGTGGTTCAAATGGTAGAGGGCTAACACACATTAAGCTAGGAGAAAGAAAAGATTAGGGCATATAAGGACAAGTGTAAGACACCAAATGCAAAGTGATAAAATTGAAATGCATCAGAGTTTAACCAGGGATTTATCAACTTTTTTTTACTCAGTTTGAACAGAAACTGAATTAATGAACAAAGGCATATAAATATCAAGAAGGTAAATCTAGAGACAGAAACAGAGAATCAAGAAGTTCATCACTGTACTGAAATTACTTTGCAACCTTCTCACTTACATTCTAGAAAGCCAACAGGCAAGAGAACATAACTATTATAAACTGGTGAATTTAAAGTCAGTCAAAAGAACTGTGTGTGCGCGCACGCACACACACGCACGCACGCACACACACACACACACACACACACACACATGATGTACACTGATCAACAATCTTCTGTGTGTGTGTGTGTGTGTGTGTGTGTGCTGGGCTGGGCTTAAACTCAGGGCCTGAGCACTGTCCCTGCGCTCTTCAGCTCAAGGCTAGTGCTCTGCCACTTGATCCACAGTGCCACTTCTCATTTTCTGGTGGTTAACTGGAAATAAGAGTCTCATGGACCTTCCTGCCAGGCTGACTTTGAATTGCATTCCTCAGATCTCAACCTCCTGAATAGCTAGGATTATAGGTGTGATGCACCAGTGCCTGGCAGTTCTGTAGGTTTTGTGTGTGTGTGTGTGTGTGTGTGTGTGAAAATACCATATAGAGGGGTTACAATTACGTGAGCAAGGTAATGAGTACATTTCTTTCTTTTTTTTTTTTGTCCATTGTGGGGCTTGAACTCTGGGCCTGGGTGCTGTCCCTCAGCTCTTCAGCTCAAGGCGAGCGCTCTACCACTTGAGCTACAGCGCCACTTCCGGTTTTATGGTGGTTTTATTGGAGATAGGAGTCTCACGGTCTCTCCTGCCCGGGCTGGCTTTGAACCGCGATCCTCAGATCTTAGCCTCCTACAGGCGTGAGCCACCAGCGCCCGGCATGAGTACATTTCTTAGCAAGCATTGTTGCCTCCTCCTTTGTTTGTTGATTGCTTTGAATACATGCACACAGTACGATAATACCTCTACATCCATTCACTCCAAATGATAACTTCAAGCTCCCTTCATCCACAAACCACCTATCGTATTATCTCCCTTTCTAGTAGACTCTGTGGCCTCTTTTATATTATAGAATAGAAATCATGACAATTCTTTCATTGTTGTACTTGCTTCAGACACTCAATTCTCTTTTTTTTTTTTGTCAGTCGTGGGGCCTGAACTCTGAACTCTGGGCTTGGGCGCTGTCCCTCAGCTATTCAGCTCAAGGCTAGCGCTCTACCTCTTGAGTCACAGCGCCAATTCCAGCTTTTTCTGCTTATGTGGAATCGAACCCAGGGCCTCATGCATGCAAAACAAGCACTCTACCACTGAGCCACCTTCTGAGCCAGACTTATTCTCTTTTTATCTCAAGTGAAGTTGTGTCTATCAATGGTTAATATTCTTCCTAATTATGATTTCCCTCTGGAATCCTAAGAAACTCTCATTCTACCAATCAACTTTGTCCCCCCTCTATACTTCTCTCAATTTTCCCCTACTGGTTTTCTTATATGTATATAAATATGTTCAATTTGCCATCTTGATAGTAACTACTATATTTTCATTTCTTATTTCTCCATTTACTGCTTCATTTTCTCCTAACTTTTACGGTCATACTTCTTTAACCTTATTCAAACACTTTAGCCCACTGCAATAGAAGCTCCTTTTCCTAGAGCCAGAAGCCAAAATCATATATTTTAAATCTGAAACATTTCATTCATCCTGAGATTGTTTACCATATTTTAATTTTCCTATCTATTTGCTTCAGATAGTTTAACAAAGCATTTTAGGTAAAATTGAAAACTAATGCTTCTTTCTCTTCCTTTATTCCCTAGATTTACGATTCCAAATTTGGCATTTATTATTCTCTTGTATTTTTTGGGGGGGGAAGGATCCGGTCGTGGGGCCTGAACTCTGGGCTTGGGCGCTGTCCCTCAGCTCTTCAGCTCAAGGCTAGCGCTCTACCACTTGAACCATAGCACCACTTCCGGCTTTTATCTTTTTGCTTATGTGGTGATGAGGAATCGAACCCAGGGCCTCATGCATGCAAGGCAAGCACTCTACCACTGAGCCACCTTCCCAGCCCTCTCTTGCATTTTTTAGACTCCTAACTATATGTAAAATACCTTTACATGTTTTAACAGTTTGTACCAATAGTATGTTACATAGTTCTGCAAACTGTTTTTGTTCAAAAAGCTAAGTTTGTTTCAATGTTCACAAAACATTCATATTGATATTCATATATATTGATATGTGATTTTTGTAACTAAGTTCAATTTCACTGTTTATATAACTGTTTCATTATATGTTTTAATAATTTTACAGCTGTTGAGTATTACATTAGTTCCAACTTTTCACTGTAATGTACACTGCAGTATTTTTAAATGTTTTCTTGTGTTTATCTTTGAAATATTCATTGTTGTGGAAAGAAAAGGTCCTAAAGTATACAAACTGCTCTCCTAAGCAGCAGTACAAATTTGTGTCAATATATCCTTAGTAAAAGTTTTTTCTCTGCATTTTTGCCAAACACTGAAATTAGACTTTTCTTTTTTTGTCAATTGTGGGACTTGAACTCAAGAGCCTGGACACTGTCCCTGAGCTTTTTTTGCTCTCGGCTAGCACTCTACCACTTTGAGCCACAGCCCCACTTCTAGTTTTTTGGTGGTTAACTGGAGATGAGAGTTTCCCAGACATTCCTGCCTAGACTGGTTTGGACCACTGAGAAGCTTTATATTACAGGCATGAGCCATCAATGCCTGGCTGAAATTCATTTTTAAATTTTAATAATCTCATCAGTATGTTATCTCATTGCTCTAATTTAAATTTACCTAACTAGTAGCAAAACTGATTGTTTTTACTTATATTGTTTGCTTAGCTAAGTTACCGATTTGTATCATTTTGCTTATTTTGTCTTTGTCCTTCTGTAGGAGCTCTTTATGTTTTCTGTGTAAGTAATATTTTAATAATATGATGCAAATATTTTCAGCTTGTGTCATGTCTTTTAACCATGGTCTAATTTGTAACCCAAAGTTTTAAGTTTAAAGGTATATTTTTAAAAATATATCCTTTGAGATCTTGTTTTAAAAAGTTCTTCTCTAAATTAAAATAACAAAGATGTTAATCCCATATTTTTTCCTAAATTTATTAAGTATTTTTCTTCACATTTAGGAAGGACATGGAACAACACAATCACTACCATACAATCCATCCTTTTGCCCTGACTTGTAATATCACTTATTAGTCATTTATACATCAAACCATCCTTAATATGTTTTTAGCAAGTTTTCCTATAATTATTCAGAATTGCCTGTACTATTCTTGTATCCCCCCACCTTTCTTTTCCTCTTTTTTCCCCTTTGGTGCCAGTACTGGGGCTTGGAATCAGGGAATGGGCACTATTTTTAAGCTTTCTCATTCAAGCCTAGAGTTCTACCACTTAAGCCACAGCTCCACTTCCAACTTTTGGTGGTCAATTGGAAATTAAGAGTCTCATGGGACTTTCCTATACAAGCTGGTTTCAAACTATGACTGGTACACAGCTTTTTTTTTAATGTATGTACTGGTCCTAGGCCTTGAACTTGGGGCCTGGGCCCTATTCCTTAGCCTTTTCTGCTCAAGCCTGGCACTACCACTTGAGCCACAGCTGCACTTTCAACTTTTTAGGTTATTAGAGATAAGAATCTCATAGATTTTCCTATACATGTTGGCTTTGAACTGTAAGCTACATATCTCAGATTTCTGAGTAACTAGGATTATAGACATGAACCATCAGCACCGGGCTGTTTTTCAAATAATGTATACATTAAATCAATTTAAGTCCAACTAACAAGGAAACAAATAGCTGTTGGAATTCTGACAGAGAAAGCAGTGAAACTAGGCATTTTTTTCTGCCACATGCCTTTAATAAAAATGTTTCTAAATTTTCATTACTAAGTATCAGAAGTGCTATGGACTGACTATTTATATTCTTCTCCCACTCCACCCTTACCTCAAATTCATCTCTTAAAGCCTAACTGCCAAATGTAATGGTATTTGGAAGTGGAACCTTTGGAAGGTAATTAGGGTAAAGAATCCTAATGAGAAGCACTAATACCCCTATAAGGGAAAAACAGGACCAAAATTCACTCTCTACTATATGAAGATACCAGAAGACAACAAGAAGACAACAACCATTAGCCTGGAAGATGGGACTTTCATCCAGGAAGGAATTCACCAACAACCCAGTGTCAGCCCCTAATCTTGGACTTCCAGTCTCCAGAACTGAGAAATAAACGTTTATTGTTTAATCCACATAGTTTCTTGGATAACTACCCTTTACTAGAACTACTCTTCATCAGACAGTTAGGATTTTCTTCTATCTCTAATTTTCTAAAGAGTATACCTATTGATTTATTGACAGAATTTGATAAGGAGTTAGAAGACAGAGAAAAATGAGAAAGAGGTAGGGTTTTAAATGATCATTAAGTTTCTGGGTTGTTGAGTACATATATGGGAATACATCTCACCAAGATTTAGTGTGTAATAATAGAAAAAGATTTATAAGCAAAGACAGAGGACTTGTTTGAATTCAGTGTACTGATAGGATGTTCAAATGGGGATAACTCATACAACTACTGTTCAATACAATACACTCTATTCACATGTGGCTATTAACTATTAAAATGTGGCTATTCAAAAACAAGATGTGCTTTAAGAGTTTACAATGGATTTTGAAGACTTGGTACAAAAATGTAAGGTAGTTCATTAATATTTTAATATTAGATATGCAAAGTATTTTGAGTAAATTTGGTAACTAAAACTATTAGAATTTAGCAGGACGCCAGTGGCTCATACCTGTATTCCTAGCTATTTAGGAGACTGAGATTTGGGGATCTCTGTTCAAAGCCAGCCTAGGTGGGAAAGTTGGTGAGAATCTTATGTCTACTTAACCTCCAGAAAACTGAAAGTGGTGCCATGGCCCAAAGTGGTAGAGTGCTAGCCTTGAGCAAAAGCTCTGAGGGACATCACCCAGGCCCTAAGGTTCAAGCGCCACAACTAACACCCTCCACCAAAAAAACCCCTATTAGAATTAATTTAACCATGTAAGTGTTGATAATGATTCTTATATTGCTAATGAATAGTGTGGCTATAGATATTTGGTAATACAAATGACTCACAGAACCCTATTTACCAATAACTTCTCAGGGACATATGTGTGCAAGATGAGAGAGACAACCACAATATAAACACTTAGATTTTATAGTCTAATGAAGCCAGACCACAGCTCTCATACAAAAAGAAAAAAATTACAAAAATATTTTTAATTGAATATAAGATTCTCTTCACTGCTGTAAGTTTTGCACATACACTCAAGACAAGATTGGGCCATAAGACTAGATTTGTACATACATTCAAAGGAGCTCAACTGATAGCCCCCACATAATCCAAGACTGTAAACCAACCTGATGGAAAGGGTCGTCTCTATATTCTTTTTTCACACATGGATTAATTTGAGGATTTTCCACATCTGTCTCACTGGTACAAGATGAACGGCATTCTGCACAATGTAACAAGTCTTCCCATAATACATCTTCTGTTTCAGATTCTGGCCTTGTGCTCTCAGAATCCTGTCTGGAACTTGAACAGCGAGAGCTGCAACTAGTACCCGATTTAGGGGCATCCTGAAATCAAGATATTCTTTGACATTAATACAATTTATGTACCCTTTCCAACTCAGAGGGTTCTATCAGAACCATATATAGCTATGTTTTCTGAAACAAAAACACACTGTCATGACAGTGCAAAAACTAGCAAAATATTAAAAATACATGTTAATTTTAAAGAAATAACAAAATGCCCTCAAATCAAAACTTCTTTGAGCATATTTCAGCTCAGATGTTAATTTACAAGAAAAAGTTGTGCGTCTAGTCGACAGAGACTAGTCTATATAGTCTATAAGCTCATATGGCCCGTATTTAATTAACTATTACTGCTTTTTTTCTCCTCCCATTTTTCATGCTAGAGATTAATAATACATAGAGTATTGCAGTCAAGTCCTACAACACTGAGCTATATTGGAAGCCCTTGGTTTTCTGACACAGTGTCTCTTTAGCCTAGCCTAGCTATGGATTCATTATCACTCACACATTTATTATTAACAGCATCCTACCTGACGGACATTGCCCTTCTTTCCAGATTATCTTTCCTCTTCTGGCCAACATCCTTCTATTGTAGCTTTCTACTGCTCTACTGGATAAAGTTTAAATTCCTTGTCTTTACTGCTACTTTTTGAACACAACCTTTTCCTCCAGTGATATTAAGGTCCTCTTTAGCATCAAAAATAGCTAGTTCTTTACCACTTTAGGCTCTGATTATGTTCATTCCTTTTATCACTAATCGTGCTTGAAAATTAATTGAATATGTGGCTTTGACTATAAATCTGGCGTAAAGGTTCAACAAATGGTTTAAACCAGCTACTTAGAAAAATCAATTTGATCCTATATGATTTCTATTCGTCTAAGAATAGATTTTTGCATTACTTTCTAAAATATGTAATTTTCCCTATCTTAATTAAGTGTTCATGCATTCAATGTTCTCCACAAAAGATTAATATAACCAGAAGTAACAAAATATCCTGGATGAGTAAAGTATATATTACTAACAATTTATTGACTAAATACAGAATGAGTCTATATTTAGCACATTGATGAAGTGTGGGCAAAGAAACAAAGGGTGAGTAAATAATTTTTGAAGACATGAACAGGAAAATGTATGAAAGAATCAACGAAAAAATAAAAAAAACAGACAAAAAGGTAAAAAATCAGTCTTTGTTTTAGAAAAATTACTCCAAAAATATTTCAGATTCACAAGTGTCAAAGAAAATACTTGAACCGTGAGTAATTTCCATTACTACAGTTTTTTTAAATTTTATTTTATTGTAAAGATGCTGTACAGAGGGGTTACAGTTACATGAGTAAGGCAATGAGTACATTACTCAATGAGATCATTGTTACCCTTCCCTTGTTATCATACTATCTCTTCCTCCTCCCACCTCCCATCCTACTCCCCACCCTCCAACTCCTGCCTGAAGTTGTAAAGTTTGTTTCCAATATACTGTCCTGTGGATATCATTGTTACAACGGGTCATCCTGTGTCCTTGTTGCAGTGTTTTGTTACCATTTTTAATGCACAGAAAGTATTATTCTCCATAACTGATCATTTTTAATGGAAAAGTTAGATTATCACTAACTTCAGTTGCACACATTATATGCAGAAGTAAACAACAGAATTAAAGGCATGATTTTTAATTAAAACTATGGGTTATTTTGGGGACTCGGAGCTATTTATAACTCTTTATAAGTGTATTTTGCCAAAAACTAATAGATTATTTTGCAAATGAAAAATCCAAAAAATGTGTATAATTGCTTATATTTCAAACAGAATTCTAACAATAGCCACTTTGAATTTCACTACAAATATTGAAAATGCCTAAAACTAAGAAATTTTAGAATTGAAACAACTATTTCAAGTAAACCATATTTAATTTGGTTTGCTCCGCTCATTTCAAATCTTTAGATAGACAACTGAAACTTAGCATATAAATAGAGATTAGAGGAAAATTGGTTATTATTTGAAAAGAATAGCATTTATAATGAATTCCTCATGTTAGTCAATTTAGACATAATTGTACTGAACCCTAATAATCTATTTGGACCATCTTTTTTCCCCACTGTACAAATGCAGAAAGTCAGAAACATTTAAAAAAAGTCCTTTCCCAAAGTCACTTAAATGATCTAACTCCAACTTCAGGATTTCACTGTTAAGCTTCTGCTCAAATGCTGCCTTCACTAGATGTAAAACTAGTCTAAAACAGAGAGGAAAAAAACTGAAAAATATTAGCTGAATCTAACCAAGCAAGACAGAGGAAAGAACCTGTAGATTCTCTAGAACACATTCTATATCCCAGATCACTAATTCCACTACTATCTTCCTGACAGGAGAACAGAAGAAGCCAGCCACAGTAGAAAAGGAAAGAAAAACAAAAAATAGGAGAGTAAAAGTTACAGATGAAATGACAAGATCCCCTTCCAATCTCGAACACTCTTGGTGCCACATACTATGGTGGTCTGGTATATTACCTGCCAGAGATGGGATGATCCTTTATGAAAAACTGTATGCTTCTTAATAGTTTTTCACTAGGTATTGCTTTTGGAAGTCTAACAATAAATGGCTGCAATTATCTCATTATCTTAATGTGAACTCCACCAGTCCCACCCATGACAAAGTGCTTTCCCAAACATTAACAGTACTGAGGTTTTAATCCAGGGGTAGGTTGGTGCACTTTCCATTTGGGCTGTATCTTTTAATCCTTTTTTTTTTTTTTTTAATAGGTTCTCATTTTCTGCCTTGGCTGGCCTGGACCTCAATCCTCCTATTATGCTTTCCCATGTAGGTGGGAAAGTGACTTAACACTGAGCACACTTTTATTTGTTATTTATTTTATTGGTTGAAATGGAATCTTGATCCATCTGTCTAGAGTCAGCTCCAACCTCAAACTGCAATCTCCCAATCTCAGCCTGAAGTAGCTAGAATTATAGGTATTGTAAGCCATTTTATACTCAGCTTTTTTGTATTGTGTGTGTTTTCTTTTAAAGTGGTAACTGGCAAATCTAGATGCTAGAGATGTTTATTGTGCCTGGAGTTGCATAATGATTTGTTTGTGCCTCACTCAAAGAAAAAACACCAAGAATGTTAGGTGAGAGTAATAATTTATAATATATATAAAAATACAAGGCTGGATTGGCAAGTGGTAAATAGGACAGTAAGTGTCTAGTAAGCAGGAGACTATGTGTTCAATTCTCAGTATACAGCAAAAAAAACAAACAAAAAAAGCAAAGCAGACCAATACTTCAAATCTCTGTCCATGTTACTTTTTGAAAAAAATGTCCTTTACATTAATAAGGATGTACTATACTCATACATTTAAATGTTTAACTAAAACCTGTTTGTACAACTAAAGATAGTGAAAAATAAATTTAACTTAAAAATATCCTTTAATGTTGATTTAGTTCATAAGAATCATAACTTTTGGAAACTGTACTGAAGCATTTAAAATGCCTTTTTGGTCTAAACTGTCTGCTTATGGATAAAGTATTTTTTTTCTATGTAATGCATTATATCAGCAAAAAGACTGAAAACAGCTAATGCCTATTAACTAGTTATGAGAGTGAAAACCTAGATGATTTTAAGCAGTATTTTCATTTAAAAGTTTAGTAGAATATAATGTATCTATGCTTCAAGAATATCAATAGTTCAGTATAGAGCTACAAATCAAGAGGAGCAAAGATCATGAGAATAATAACTCAAAAATCAAATTATTTATTCTGTAGATGAGGGGTCAAATAGCTTTCTTCCTTCCATGAACTTCTAATTGTATATCAGATTGAGATTTTGCAAGCTTGTTTATTTAGTTTAATAACAGGAAATGGCACATCAGATGATGTGGATGAAGAAAAAGTGGGCAGACATACTAAATTAGTGTCTTTCTAATGGTAGTTACTGAGAGAACACATAACCACAGTCACCAGAAAGATTAACCAGATATACAGCCACAAAGAAGAACATGTCAAAAAGTAGCTGTTGCCAGGTGCCAATGGCTGATGTCTATAATTCTAGCTACTGAGGAGGCTGAGATCTGAGAATCACGGTTCAAAGCAAGCCTGGGCAGGAAAGTCTGGTTGAGACTTTTTTTTTTGGGGGGGGGTCGGGTCATGGGGCCTGAACTCTGGGCCTGGGCGCTGTCCCTCAGCTCTTCAGCTCAAGGCTAGCACTCTACCACTGAGCCACCTTCCCAGCCCAAATCTGTGAGACTCTTATCTCCAATTAAACACCAGAAAACTGGAAGTGGTGCTGTGGTTCAAGAGGTAATGTGCTAGCCTGCAGCTGAAGAGCTCAGAGATAGAGCCCAGACCCAGCCCCACAACTAGACAAAAAAAAGAAGCTGTTCTAGTTTTAACACTTGATATTTATATTTCAACACAAAAATAATATCTCTTAAGCTGAACCCAAATCACCAGGGTTTTTTCCTAGCATACTTCACAGAGGTTAGTGTTGACCAAAAAGTGACATATGGAGTAATTAGCTTTGAAGCCAGATAATATAAATTGCTACCTTTACAATAGAAACTACAAATAAAATGCAAAATTATTTTTCTATTTAAATCAGGAGAATGACAATTTGGAAAAGCATTTTAGAGAAAAACAAAAGAATCAATAAGGAAAAATAGAACTAAAGAAGAAAGAAAACTCAATGTTGTATTATGGGGAACTTAATAACTAGTGACAGTAACATGAAGTCAGTCAGAAAAATAACCAAGAACTTATAAACCCTTCTCATTTGTGGGAGCTTACAAATGATATATGAAAGATGATCTTCTTTAATGTAAACAACTTCCTTAATATGTAAGTCTCCAGGAATACTATACAAAATGAGTACAAATATGTCTACTTATCAATGATTGCAATATATAAATCTAAAACTGCTAAGCAATAAATCAAGGTAATAAATAGTGATAATAGGAAATACTGATTTCAATAATACCTGACTGATTAAAGTTATAAACTACAAACATAAAAATAGGTACATATAAGCCAAATTGTATACCTCATTAGTATAATGTTTTTTATAGTGGTGTGACTTTCTATTTCGAAGAATGTTTTCAGAAGTCCTGTCCACATGACGACGTAATGAGTATCCTGCTTCAGGACCATCTTCACTGGATACTTCATCAGAGACATTTGTTATTGTCCTTTGAGTATCCTAAATTGGGAGTACATAAAAAGATTGTTAAGTTTTTTGTTTTTGTTTTTAATTTTAATTTTTTGTGAACATACTGTACAGAGGGGTTACAATTACATGGGCAAGATAATGAGTACATTTCTTATCAAGCATTGCAGCCTCCTCCTTTGTTTACCCTTCACATCCCTTCCCAGCCTCCCCCCCTACCACGCTGCACCAAAGTTGTAAAGTTCGTTTTGGACATGACAACTTATACTTCTCATAGTTGCATCGGGTCCACCTGTATCCTTAAACGACTTGTTTTTCCCCATCTCCTCCACAATTATACCAACATCAAATATAGTGAAAGCAGGGGTTATACTGTGGGGGAGGGACATACAAAGCAACAAAGAAATAATCTTATAAATGCGTTAGAAACAAATGCATGAAAGAAAAAAACATTTAAATACATATCTAAGGGTTCATTTTCCTAACATCACATTATCTGACCTTTCCTGCTTGACTCATACATATACTAGATATTGCAAATAAGGGAAACCATGGGACCTATGTTTCTTTGGGCTTGGCTTACTTCACTTAATATAATTTTTTCCAAGCCTTTCTATTTCCTAACAAATGGGGAAATGTCATTCTTTCTGATGGAGGCATAGAATTCCATTGTGTATACCACATTTTCTTGATCCATTCAAGATTGTTAAGTTTTGATTAAACTTTTAGTTTTTTTTTTAATTTTATTTGTGAACATACTGTACAGAGGAGTTACAATTACATGGGCAGAATAACGCGTACATTTCTTACCAAGCATTGCAGCCTCCTCCTTTGTTTACCCTTCACATCCCTTCCCAGCCTCCCCCCCTACCACGCCGCACCAAAGTTGTAAAGTTCGTTTTGGACATGACAACTTGTACTTCTCATTGTTGCAACAGGTCCACCTGTATCCTTAAACAACTGGTTTTTCCCCATCTCCTCCACAAGTTATACTGACATCAAATATAGTGAAAGCAGGGGTTATACTGTGGGGGAGGGACGCCGAGTCTTGGATCCTGGGTCATCTCTGGTCTGCAAACTGCAGGATGAAGATGTCCCCTCCTTGTCGGTTCTTGTTGGTGTTGAGTAGAATCCTCTCGCCTGCTGCGTCTGGCTCCTTAGTCCCGGACTCTCTGTGTGAGCACTCAGGTATGGCCGCGGCTGCGGTTGCCGCTGCGACCCTGCAGCCGCCGCGGCGGCTGCTGGCGAGCGCTCAGATGTGTCTTTTTGCCTTGGCTTCCCTCTCTTGTCTAACTCTCTGTCCTGTGATGGCACACTTGGTGTGATTCTCTGGCTTAGTTCACTGGAACTCTAAAACTGCTTTCTATGAGAGAGCTTGTTCAGATTCCAGCTTCTCCTCCGCCATCTTCCCAGAACCTCCTAAACTTTTAGTTTTAAAACTGTAATATTTTTAATTACACACGCATACCCTTAACTTTAAAGTATCTTCAAATGCCTCCAAGTAAAATACTACCTAATACAGGCCAAAATTTTTCTTAATAGAGATCCAGAAAACACAACAAATCAAAGAAGGTTGGATAAATGGAATTGCATGAAACTGCAGAGCTTCTGCATGGCAAAGGACATAGGTAGCATGATCAGTAGAAAGCCCACAGACTGGGAGAAGATCTTCACTAGCTAACAACAGACATATCTAAAATATACTTAGAACTCAAAAAATTAAGGCACCCAAAAACAACTTCTCAAAGAAACAACCACCCCATTAATAAATAGGCTAAAGACTTAAAGAGAGACTTCTCTGAAGAGGAAATAAGAATGGCCAATAGACACATGAAGAAATGCTCTACTTCTCTAGCCATAAAAGAAATGCAAATCAAAACAACATTGAGATTACACCTCATCCCAGTTAGAATGGCTAGAATCAAAAAATCTAATAATGACAGATGTTTGGAGGAGATGTAGCCAAAAGGGAACCCTACTGCATTGTTGATGGGAGTGTAAACTTGTTCAACCACTTTGGAAAGCAGTATGAAGTTAAGTTACCCAGTCCCAAAAAAATTTAGGTCCCAGGATTTCCCTTATTTGCAACAATTAGTATACAAATAGGATAATCTTATCAGATGAGCTGAAAAGCCATGTACAAATGACCATATGAGATGATGCTAACTGAAGTGAACCCCAAGATATGGACATAAGAGGTCTGTTTTTATTGTTTTAAATGTACCATGTGATTTTATTTGTTGCTGTTGTTTTCTTTGTATGTTCTTTCCCTTATGGCATATCCCCTGTTGTCATTGTACTTGATTTTGATACCCTGCATCTTGTATACAGGAGAGGGGAAGGGGAATAATAAAAGGCTGAAACAAGGACACAGGATGACATTGCACAAGGATACCCACAGGACAGTGTATTGGAAACGAACTTTACAGCTTTGGAGGGTGAGCAGTAGAGAGAGGAGGGTAGGAGTGGGGAAGGTGGGGAGGGAAGGGATAGTGGGACAACACCAAGGAAGGGAAGGGGTAACAATGACCAACAAGTAATGTACTCATTGCCTTACTCATGTACAAGATCTTAACAATAAAAAAAAAACTGCCTGATTGTTTTGAGTGACTGTACTTTTCACAATTTAAATTAGAATTTAATGGGTTTCATCTGATATTGTCACATATACAATGAACTTTAATAATAACTTATCCCCCATTATCCTCTCTTGTACCCCCTTCCTACAAATCCCTTCCCTCTCCCCAAATAGTCCATTTTTATGGTTTTTTTTCAAGTTTTTTCACTTATGAGAAAAAGCATGCAATACTTGTCTTCTAGCTTGTATGACTTAACATCACAGTGTCACAATAAATATGAGTGTGCAAGTATCTTTCGGGGGAGAGGGTTGTGAGCAGGAATGTAATCCTGATTTTAATAGAAGTTACTATGATTTTGTATCCTGTTTATTACAAGTGGTTTTTTTTAGAGCTAAGAGGTTCCTGTGGAGTTCTAAGGTCTTTTAAATAAAATATCATATCTGCAAGTAGGAAAAACTGGATGTCTTCCCTTCCTATTTGTATCATTTTTTCTTGCATTATTTCTCTGCCTCAGAGTTCAAATACTATATTGATTTTAGAGGAAACACTTTCAATTATTCCCTACTGTTATGTTGGCTATAGATGGGTCATCTACAGACTCTGTTGATGTACATTCCTTCTATTTCTACTTTCTTCAGAACTTTTACCAAAGAATGCAGAATTCTTCTAAAATTTTCTATATCTAAGGATGTGATTTTATCCTAGTCTATTCTGTCTATATACTTTTTTTCATTATTATGTACTATTTATTTATTTGCATTTGTTTAGTTATCCTTGCATCCTTGAAATAAAACCTAAATTTGAGCTTGGCATATAATCTTTTTTTCTTTATTGTAATTAATTAATTAATTAATAGATTTTTTGAGTACTAAGGTTTAAAGTCAAGGCCTGGTGCTTGCTAGGCAGAACTTTTAACAAACAAGCCACACTTGTAGCCCTCTTTTTTAATTTATTATTTTATTATTAGGTATTAATTATACATTGTGACATGTCCATAATAAATATATTTTGCAAAAATTCATCTCTTATAATTTTAAGAAGTTTTTTATTATGAAAATACTGTACAGAGGGGTTACAGTTACATGAGTAAGGTAATGAGTACATTTCCTATCAAGCATTGTTGCCTCCTCCTTTTTTTTCCTCAACCATCCCTTCCCTCCCCACCTCAACAATACTCCCCACTTATTATCTTTTAACATATTCTTGAGTTTCATTTGCAAAGAATTTATTGAGAATTTTTGTGTCTAAGCTCATCAGTGAAACTGGTCTGTAGGTATCTTGTTTGGTGATGGCCTCTTGTTTTGAAATTAGGGCAATATCAGTTTCATAGAATGAGTTTGAATGCATTCCTTTTATGTTTTATAAAGAGGTTAGGAACAATGAAAAGAACAATCTTTAAATGTTTGGTACAATTTAGCACTGAAAGCCACAAGTGGTGGCCATAATTCTAGGTTCTCTACAAGCAGAAATTAGGAGGATCACAGTTCTAATCCAGGTGGGACAAAAAGTTTTCCAGACCAAAAAGTCAACATGGTGTTGTCATGTGCCTGTCTCATGAATTTTCCCACTCAGGCTTGCTTTAAACAGTAATCCTCAATCTCAGCCATCTAAATAGCGAGGATAATAGGCATGAGCCACCAGCATCTGGCTGTTTTTCTTAATAGATGGTTTCCTTTAAAAATATGTAGTGATTTTTGTCCTTCTAATTTTAGCTTGAAATCTGCTTTGTTACATATCAGTACCTACTTCTGATCATTTTCTGTTTGCTTAGAATAAATATTGTTTTCTACCCTTATACTCTAGTCTGTGTGTCTTTGGTAAATAGCTTATTTGCTATTTTGCTTGTTTAACCCACTCAACCAGCCTATATGTTTTAATTGGAAACTTATTGTTTACATTTAGGGTTATAAATGAAAGGTATGTACTAACCTCTCCCCCTTTTTTTTTTTTTGGGTCCGGTCGTGGGGCCTGAACTCTGGGCCTGGGCGCTGTCCCTCAGCTCTTCAGCTCAAGGCAAGCGCTCTATCACTTGAGCCACAGCGCCACTTCCGGCTTTTTGCTTATGTGGTGCTGAGGAATCGAACCCAGGGCATCAGGCATGCAAGGCAAGCACTCTACCACTGAGCCAACTTCCCAGCCCCTAACCTCTCCCTTTTTTATCTGAGAGGTTAGTTGCTTACTGAATAATATTTGATTTTCCTTACTTCTTATCTGCTTTATTCTTTTAGTGAGATTATTTTCCAAGATTTCAGGTTATAGATATTCTACTTCTATAATATTCCTTTAAGTGTCTTCTGTAATACTGGTTTAGCAATCATGAACTGCTTTAGTTTATACTTATCATAGAAAGGCTTTATAACAGCTAGATGTAGTCTGGGTTGGCAGTTATTTTGTAGCAGGGCCTAAAATATAACTGTTAGTGCTCTCCTGGCCTAAGGTTTCTGTTGATAGGTC